ATACACTTACTTAATGTATATAAACATTTTATTCATATAAATTAAATCATTAATTTTAGGTAATTTTAATATAACTTTAATTTAATTAATCCAAAACGTAATAAAAATTCAAAATTAGAGTTTTATAACAAAATAAAAAATTATATAAAATATATAATTTTTTCGCTTGGTGTTTAATTATTGGCGACCATTTAGTAAAATTTAGCGATTTCTAGGTTGCGCACCAATGTTTTAGACAATCAAACTACTTTTTGTGTGTATTATTTTCATCAAAATTGTATTTTATTGTAAAATAAGGTTTTTTAAACCTAGTGTAAATTTATCAGAAAAAAACTAAAAAAAAAACTATTATTGATATAGAATCTTATCGTTTTAAATATATATATATATATATTCAAATTAATTTATTTTGATATTAATAAGTGCTGTATATACTTTTTAATACGTTTCATTGTAGTAATAGCACTAATTTATATTTTATATTTATACCTAAAAGAAAAATAAAATATGCATATTGTAGCTGCAAACAAAAATGGAATATTGTAAAGGTAAGATTATTACAATAAGAATTAAATATGCATTTGAAATGGAATATTTAAACAATTTCATGTTAATATGAACTTGTAATATGTGGTTTTTCAGACCTTATAGTGATCTATGACTTACTTTTATCCGTTAGTCCTACTCTATAGTGTATTTATGGGTGAAGGGGTTACCGAGTCTCGACATCCCCTACAATGAGAAAAAAAAAGATTACAGTTTAACGATGTTATCAATAAATAAAAACTACTTAATAACAACTGAAGTCTTTATTGATGAATTAGCAAAAAAAAAAGACGTTTACCTTTTTTAATAGTATAAATAATTCTTCATTTGTTTTTATAATAATAATAGAATAACAGAATTATTAATTCATGTCTTACATATTTTTATAATCTTAAAAAATAATTTTATTTTAGAAAATGTTTATAACTTCTCTATTTCGGCCTTGTCTGTTTTCGTTCTATAGCTATATGGCATACGTTTTTCATACATTTTCGTATCATACAATATATATTATGTGAAGTGTATAAACTCCTAACAAAGGTTTTAACATTCTTGAAATACACAATAATGTTAAGAGTATTCACATCACGTGATAGATCAAATTTCCTCCGCAGATAGGTTTCCTAATTATTATTTGTAAACTTGATGTACAAAATAAATTTTAAAATGTTTACAAAAATTAAATTCTACTTTCTGAAATTAGGTATATTATTGAATGTTATATTATGCATTTTTCTATCCTGAAGTAATAATTTTTCATCTGATAATTATTTCAAGACACGTATCAATAACAAAAGTTGTAGATGGTTAGTGGTAACAATGCTAACTTAAATTAAATGATAAATAAAATGCATTTAAAAAATGCTAAAATTAAAATAATAAATAAAAAATTAAATAAAAGTCTTATAAGTTGTAGTATTGAACAAACTAAAAATATTTTAAACCATACAAAACTTGAGACTCAGAATACTTATATGTGAGAACTAATTCAGTGTTTAGGAAGGTTTAATCTCTCTTAAGCCTCTATTATTCAGTTTTTCCTGGTTGCACTATGTCTTTATTTTAGGTGGATAACAACAGTATTATTTATATTACTAGAAAACTATAACTATTAAGATACTTAATTATAATACTGTTATCTTCCATCTGTAATACAGTTAACTATTAAGATATTTAACTTTTTTTACTTCTAATGATATTTAGTAATCATTAATTTCAATTTTTTTGTAAATAATAATGGTTTTAAATTAATATATTTTGTTAGATTTTATTTGATTTTGCTTTGATCACTAACTATAATAAATTATATTTATAAACTTAGCAGTTATAATTTTATATATATAATATTATATTTTTAGCACACAAATCAAAGCGGCTACAACTCGTTTGCACAAAAATGCACAACTTGATTGCGTACATATATTTTGGCTACCTGTGACGAAAATCCCTAGTGTCAGAACTCGTTTGTTTATTATCGTTGATTATTATACTCTTTGTGACTATGATAGTTGGTTACTTTTATTATTTTGTTTGATTTACTCGTATTAACAATAACACTCACAGGAAATTTTTTATTAATGCATCTAATATTTGAACATCCACTCATTAAAACATGGTATTCACGAAATTTATAATTATTAATATTGAAACATTATTTTCCTCACAGAGATTCAAAAATATTAGAAATTTCTATGTCCATATTAAATTTTACGTCGTCAATACACTAATCACCACTATATCGTCCATATCCATAATCCATACCGACTGAAACTTTACTAAAAGTTGTTTGGAAAATTCAAATTTATATAATCTACAGTCTACACAGTCAATTATAAGATAATATATTTGATAATTTGTACTGCAGTCTGTGATGATATATGTATACACGTGTTATGTGTGTGACTGTGTCGTGCGCAAACGAGTCGTCGATTTTCAGGTAAAAAATTTTGAATGTGCGCAAACGAGTTGCAGCACTTTAAGCTCTTTAAGCTAAAGTCAGTGTAAGATTACATTACATAAATATACATTGTCATATAGGTCATGAGCCGAATTAAGCTTTATATTTTTGTGGTAAATTGATAATTTAAAATTTAGTTTTTGTGATGGTGATCGATAATAACATATTGTAACTAAATTCTATATTTAAATATACATATTTCACAATTATAAGAAAATGTTTTTTAAAAAACTCATGTTTTTATTTTAAAATTTGGTTAAATTATGTTTTTTAAATAAAATATATCAACCGGATATTATTTTATGAAAAATTACAGTCAAATTTTAGACAAAAATTTTTGAAGAATTCAATGAATAATAAATATGCTTACAACTACTTTATATACTTCAATAGTAAATATCGTTATGGAACACTATTTATTTCCAATGTAAATAATTTAACAAAGTAAATTAAATTAATATAAAGATTGTAGTTAAAAATAGTATTATTATTCAACTGTATAAGCATGCTATAATATCTACAATTATTTTACTCATCCAAAATCACTACTCTTATTTGCTATTAAATTCCATACAAATCGAGCTATTTAGATTTTAATTTTAAATAAAGTTACTCATTTTAGTGATTTAACCATAATATTTATTAAAATCCTCCTTCTTATTTTTTTAAATTTCATCTTATGTTTTAATTAAAAAAAACTCGTACATTTTCTACTGCATATCGAATTGTTAAAATGTTACCATTGAAGTAAAAAAAGTTGTAGACATTTCGATTGAGGTTTAATTAGCAAATGTGTATACATTTTCATTAATTAATGTATATACAAAAAACCGTATCATCTAACTGTAAGTCAGTAAAAATTAATAACTTCATAGATAATTTATAAATATTTATTATTTTTTGATTTTCTATAGGTAACTATTATAGATGTAAAAATATATAATTATAGACCTTCTAATACTTATCAGTTACTATTATCGAAAAATTCAAACTCAAAATTATTTATTTGCCATGAAAATTTAAATGATATTACAGGACTCATAAATTATGTATAAGTATTGGATAATTATTATCTAATATTCACTTGTAAGCAAGGCCGTAGCCAGGGGGGAGGGGGTTTGGGTTCAGACCACCTCCCAATTTTTTTTTTAAAAAGAGTTGAATGATTTTAAAAGCCTATTACATATGAAATTTTAAAATTTGCTTTTCCAAAAACATATTTATACTTTAAAACCCTTCCTAATCTTTTCTGTATATGGCCTTGTTTGTTGGATAATATTGTATGCAAATACATTATAAAATTATTTTATACGGTTTTACTTAAAACACTAATCATTAAACCTAAAATACAATATTTACGCTGTAAAAAAAGTGATGATTTTATTTAAAAATAATAGGTACTTTTAGATTCATCAAGTAGTTCTATTCAAAAAACTCACCAGAAAACTAGCTGGGATAAATCTTCTAAGTTTTATCACTAGTCTCAAAATTCACAAAAGGTGAAGGAGAATATATTATATGATGAAACTGCTATTATTTTATATTTATGAATAATAAATATAATTAATTTGCTAATTTTATCAATACATGCTATTAATTCAAATACATTCAATACATTCAATCAATATTTTATATTTATTGTTATATTATTTAATTTTATTATAACTTATGTGCAATCATTCTGATTTTCTGTGCTTATGCATTTAATATACTTAAATATTAAATAGTGAAAATGTATTTTCTATTAATTTAATTCCTCAAATTATTACTTCTCCAAGACTTTTCAAATATTTATGTTTAGATATATCGTTAAAATATTAATTTACTGAAAATAAGTTGTAAATTGATGATATGCCTAAACACTGATATTTTATAATTATTGTAAAATATTTTTCTGTGTCCCGTTATCTTTACATAATTCAATTTTCTATTTGAACTATTTAAGGTGTATATATTTATATATTTATGACTATATATATATATATAT